AGATCTGTTTGCTGTACGTTGCCATACTGTCTATAAAAGCCTCTGCTTTGCTCAGACACGACTGTGCAATAAGTAGTGTTGCAAATTAAACAGCAACATGCTCATTATGAACCTCAGATTAGGTCTGTGCCCACATCAAGTAAAATTAGGTGGCAAAAATGTTTGTAAAATGACACTTACTTTCTCCTTTTTTTTCTTTGTTCTGTCTCTATTCTTTGTTGCCAACATAGAAAAAATAACTCCTAGGAATATCAGACAGGAAAAATACACGGTAATACTAGACTGTGAAAAATCTACTGATCCCTTGAGCCATAGCATTCTTGCCTATAGATGATGACATTAAAAATTGGAAATGGGTGCATGCTTCCCCTCCTCTTCTGGATCTATGAACAAGGCAAGTTGTTTTCCTGATACCTTTAGAATTACTCCCATTAGTACTGATGCATTTGGTGCTTTGGGTAGCCAGGCAGAGAGAGGTGGGCAGTATCCCCTGCCAATAGATCTAGTCTTGTCGCAGGAACAAAATGAGATTGCTACTCTGCTGAGCTGTCATACTCGATAGCTTGTGCTGTTCCACTTGCAACTGTCTTCATAGCTCCAGCTGCAGCGTCACGGCTTACATGGAGTCAGTAGTTTCTGATGGTTGATCTTCTCCTGTTCCTTATGCATCACACAAGGCAGGACAGAGAGCCCTAAGCAACTGAGTGGAGTGGTTGCAACAGCTGCTCTCCACACTGAGAAGGAAACAGGCGACAGGCAAGCAGGTCCCTCTCAAACAGGCTTGCAGGCCCTGCTGGGTAACTTCTGGGGCTCCTCTCAGTGGAAGGTGACAGGAGGAGGTTCGGTCTCGTGTCATCCATCTCCTCCTCAACAGCCCTGCCACTGCACCCAGGACAAAGTGTTTGCAAGCTTCTTTCCCACCTTCCCTACCTCCAAATGCCACTGGCACACACAGCAGAAAATGAGTAATGCAGGTGGGTTTGGAGGAGGGAAAGGGGAATTTCTGTGCACATTTACATTGGATCAGTAAGTCTCTAAGTGCAAAACCTGGCTTTTTGTTGGTGCGTGGGGGAGTCGACTGGAAGGAAGAAGGTTAAAGAAAAGACTTTGTAAACGTTTACTGGTACAAGAGGAAGCCAAATACATCTAAGGTGATAATAAGACAGAACACCCTAAAATACCAGACTGCAAGGACTGAGATTCTTCCCATCACAGAACCTCATGAGCAGGACACAGCTTTTGCTCTGTCCCTGTTCACTAGGGAGCAAACTCCTCATTTGCACTGATGACCTGGGGATGAACTGCAACCTGTATTGGGTTTGTGTGGCAAGGTTTTCGACTGGGGGCATTACAGGCATGGCTTCTGTGAGAAGCTGCTAGAAGCTTCCCCCATGTCCCATAGAGCCAATGCCAGCCAGCTCCAAGAAGGACCCGCTGCTGGCCAAGGCTGAGCCCATCAGCGATGGTGGTGGTGCCTCTGGGATAACATTTAAGAAGGGAAAAAAGTTGCAGCAGGCACAGAAACGGCAGCAGGAGAGAGGAGTGAGAACACATGAGAGAAACGACCCTGCAGACACCAAGGTCAGTGAAGAAGGAGGGGCAGGAGGTGCTCCAGGTCCTGGAGCAGAGATTCCCCTGCAGCCTGTGGAGAAGACCCTGGTGAGGCAGGCTGTCCCCCTGCAGCCCAGGGAGGTCCACGGTGGAGCAGATATCCACCTGCAGCCTGGGGAGGACCCCACGCCAGAGCAAGTGGATACCCCAAGGAGGCTGTGACCCCATGAGAAGTCCATGCTGGAGCAGGCTCCTGGCAGGACCTGCAGACCTGTGGAGAGAGGAGCCCACGCTGGAGCAGGTTTTCTGGCAGGACTTGTGACCCTGTGGGGGACCCACGCTGGAGCAGTCTGTGCCTGAAGGACTGCAGCCTGTGGAAGGGACCCACACTGGAGCAGTTCGTGAAGAACTGCAGCCCGTGGGAAGGACCCATGTTGGAGAAGTTTGTGGAGGACTGTCTCCTGTGGGAGGGACCCCACGCTGGAGCAGGGGAAGAGTGTGAGGAGTCCTGCCCCTGAGGAGGAAGGAGTGGCAGAGACAACATGTGATGAACTGACTGTAAACCCCATTCCCTGTCCCCCTGTGCTGCTGGGGTGGAGTAGGTAGAGAAAATTGGGAGTGGAGCTGTGCCTAGGAAGAAGGGAGGGGTGGAGGGAAGGTGTTTTGAGATTTGGTTTTATTTCTCATTACCCTGCTCTGGTGGATTGGCAATAAATTAAGTTAATTTTCCCCAAGTTGAGTCTGGTTTTGCCCATGAGGGTAATAGGTTGAGTGATTTCTCCCTGCCCTTATCTTGACCCATGAGCCCTTTGTTATATTTTCTCTCCCCTGTCTAGCTGGGGGGAGGAAGAAAGAGAGTGGCTTTGGTGGGCACCTGGCGTCCAGCCAGGGTCAACCCACCACAAACCTCAGGACTGACAGCACTGTCTAAACAAGTGAAAAAGAAACAGAAAAAAGAATCTTCCTCCTTCACTGCTGATTGTACATCCCTGATAAGAATAAACAGACCAATTATTTTCCAAAACTGTGGACTGGGAGTGAGGTAAAAGGGTAAAGGAAGGATATAAATGTACTTCCTCCTATATTGCAAAAAGTACATGAAAAATAAATATAGAACAATGTCCTTAAATTCCTCCACACCATAAACGTCATACAACACCATGAGTGCACTGAACTATCACCATGTTATAAGGTGATTAGTTTGTGGTCTTCCCTAAAACTGGTCAGTCACAGTTCTTCAAGTCCCTGCACTCCTATGCTGTAGAGTCCTTCAGTGTTTTATGGAAAGGACAGGACAAAAGTTCTACTCCAACTTGTCTCCACTTCCCATCCTCTCTTATATTAAGTTAGAAAATAAAGCAGTGGATACTTCAAACTCTTATTTCAACTTTTTTTAAAAATAATTATTGCTACCATTTGATAAGTAGTAATAATATTTGCTAAAAAATCATGCTTGTTAACATTTAGTCTTTTTCAGTGTGAAAAGACAAGCATTCTCCTCTGTGTTCCTCGAACAGTAGTCCAGGCCAAAAGGGCATCCTTTTCTAGCAGGTTTTGTAAGAACAGGATTACTCTATGTCACAAGAGGGCTGTGTATTTGACAGCCATTGTCTCAGCTGACACTGAGATGGATCCTGGGACCTTCAGGACTTCCAGTGCTGAGCACCAAGTGCTTGAACATGAGCTAGCTAGGACTGTAACAGATGCATTATCTTTTAATCACAGCACAGAAGGTTACGTGCATTAACCAGAATGGAAAGAGATTTTTTGTTTACTGTTAGGGGTAACATAGAAAAGATTACATTCTTTTGATAAAATTACATAAAATTATTCAGAAACATCTCTCAACACCATCATAGATGGTCTTTTAACCAGAGCATTTACATATCACACCTCTGGGTCCAGTATCCCACAGTCTTGGAGTTAGTACCACAATGCAAGTAATCAAGAACTGAGTAAATTTCATTCTTGCAAAATCTGACATATCTACAGATAGGTAAGTTTCGGAATAAAGTTTTCTACTTTAATTCAGTAGAGAGTTCAGATCTTGAAGCAAGACATCCATTTCTCCTGCCTCTCCTCATGAGCCACTGGATTAGACACAACAAATTAAAAAAACCTGAACACTTCTGCCTTACGTAATATCATTGATTTTTCACTGACTTACCATCTTCAGTATTTTCTTAGCAGTAGCACACAGAGGTGAGTATCACACTTCATTATTCTAAAAAATGTGAAGCACAGCATGTTCCCTAGTACAGATGCTGTAGTCTTTTCTAATGTACAGTTCATACGACCTTTTGTAATTGCCATTTTTATACAATACCCTCAACTATTAGTCCAGGGCATCTATACCTAAGCAGTCTTTATATTGCAGCACTTTGAGAAAGGCTTCTAAATTTTCCATGGGAGAAAGCAATTTGCAAAGGCATCATTTCAAGTCCTGCATCATAGCAGTCTTTTTAATTCTTTTTCATCCTAACCTGTGCATGTAATATTAATATGGATATATCCCATTAAAGGCCATTGGATAAGGGATGAGGAACAGAATTCTGTAAAATGTATTTTACTTGGGGAAAAAAAGCAGGTATATCAGGAAATCCAGGTTTTACCAGTTGTCCAGTTTTAGAAGTATGGCTTTGATTTATGGATCGAAATTGTTCATTTATTATTTTATCTATACTGCTTTGGGCAATTTTGACAGTTAAAATTTAGTTTTATTGACCAATGCAGCCAGTTTAGCCACAAGGGGACTAATGCACACACAGCCTGCTGCACTCAGGAAGCTATGATTTGATTCCATGACCAAGTCAGACTGGGAATCGCAACCAACATAACAATAAGTTCCAAATCTTGATGCTCGAGGCAAAATACTTACTCTAAAATACAATCAACCTTTAAAAGAAGGTGAGAAAGATTTTTGTGATAGGAGCCTCTGTGCACTGTTTATTGTAGCTGATATATTCCACCAATGCTTCTGTCAGCAATGGACGCAGAGCAGTACAGAGGAAACCTTTCTTTAATGATTGTGGACAACAGATAAAGCTGGAAGAAGGAAATGAAAATGCAAAAGAGAATCAAAGGTGTGCTCTAGTACTATGGCTTACCAGGGATCTGACTCTGAGAAAACTGTCTCGAACATTGCCTTTTTTTTTTCCTAACCAGATTTTATTCATATGTGCATAAATATGCATGTATTCATGTCGCAGTATGAAAGACTTACAAGTTTACTTAAAAAACTTACTGGAATGATTTTAAGCCAATGTTAATTTAGGCCTATCCTATTATAAAATTAGCATCTTCTGCAATCTCAATTTATTGCTCCATTGTGAAGCCCCCTTGTGATACATAAACAAATCTCTGAAGAGAAACAAATCAATAAAGTGTCTAATTTGATTAACCATGTTTTTAAATTCATCAAGACAACTGTACAAAAATAAACCACTTACTTGTCAGTATTTTCCACGTCTTCTTTTCATCATCATAATACTGAACCAAATTGCTGGGTAGCCGGTCAGGTCCGGGAGGCAATCCTCCAACCAATAACAGCATTTTCTTATTGGAACGAATTCTTCACCCAAAACAAGAGGAAAGATGAACAACCACATTACTGAGGAGTATTTTTAGTGGCAACAAAATCATAACCATCAAAAGAATGTTCACTGCTTGCAGTTTTCTATTTCATTTTTTGTGTTTCTTTCCCCAATCATGTCTCAACAATTTTTTGAACCAAGCAGAAAAATGATCAGAAAAGCTGCATATCTCTCTACTCATGGAATAATAAGCTTCCTTCATGCAATTTGTTAGAGGTTCATTCTAGAACGACCTTTTTCTTATATTATCCCTTTAAATCATCACTCTTTACAGCTGAATACACATGAAATGCTCTGGAGTTGTACTAAGGTTAAGCATTAAAGTTGCATGTCAAAAATCGTATTAGTCAAAATCATTATTATAAGCCATTCTACACTCAAAGAACCTTGAAAAAATTAAGGTTATGCAGAGAGTTTGTGAGCCAACTCTTTAATCACACACTGAACTTCAGATATATAGTTTAGTACAATTAGCAGCACTGGGCTAATGGTTATGGGTTAAATGGTACTTACAAGCACTTTTGTTTGTTTAATTTAGTCCAGACTCTTGCTTTCACTCTCCCCCCCGGCTCCCCCCCTTCTCTTTGCTCTCCCCCTGTGCACCACTGGCTATAGCAACACCAATTGGTAAAAATGAGACTGTGATGTTGTTGTGAGCCTCCCCAGAGTGGAGCCCTGCCAATGCTTGCCACTGATCCAGCGGCATGAACCTGCTCAACTGTGCAAAGTCACTCTAATTCCCTCCCTCTGTTTTTCTACCTTCTCCCCCAGGGGGCAACCACTGAAAGGAGTGACTACCCACCCATCAAGAGCTGGCAATTCGCTGCTATTAACCGTGACCGTGATTCCCAATCTGCCTGGCAGTTCTTAAGAACAGGACTGCAATGTCTCATATGCAGTAAAAGCGGTTATCTGCACCCTGGCCTCCAACGCTCCACCTGATGAATGTACGATTTCTTTCCAACATTAAGGGATTTAGCACAATTGTAAGCGAAAAGGGGAGGGGAGACCCAGACCCCCAGATGAGCCCTGATGCTTTAATAGTCAATTCGCATATAATTGAACTTTCATCAGTTATACTAAGCTTGGGTGTGATAATGCGGAGATAAAGGCTCGAAATGTTCCCGTGAAGTAGGAAGGTGACGTAGCCTAGAAAAAATGCATCGATATGAACGAATGTGCAGGGGGATCATGCATTTGATGGAAAGCACCTGTGCCAAACACCAACGTTTTTCCAAGCACAGCAACATCACTGTAGCAATCGGTGTATCAGTCCGCAGCAAACACTCCTGGACAGGAAAGGTACATAATGCCAGGAACCAAAGCCCACCACCACAACTGCATGCGGCGGGGTCAAGCTGCCACCCAGGAGCTCCAACCTCAGCAGTGCACTCTGGCAGCGGGTGCTTTACTGCTGAGGCACACCAGTGGCTTAGCTCCAACTACTACCTAGAATGAGTCTTGGGGACCCACCAATTTACATTTGCGTCAGGATTGCATTCTCTCTTGAGAAGATTGGGCAGAATGAACCAGGTGGTGCTGTAGACACGCACTACCCAAAAGGAACCTCCTTCAGGAAGGGAGCACGCAGCTGAAGGCTTGATCCACATGACGCTTAGGAATAAAACCTTTCAAATGGCTATCCAAAAGACAACTACAGACTGCAGATACATCTGTCACAAGGATGGCCAGGGAATTATCTGGCAGATAGCCTTGTTTGTTTTTAAATGGACTTAGGGCTCAAGGAAGGCCCTGAATTGTCAGTGGAGGAAACAAAACCATCACTGCAGGGGCAGGAGCTACACCACGGGGGCAGTGACACTGTCCCATGCTGTCCTACCCCCCTGCTTCACTCCCGACTTGGGGGGAGCCCCTGCGGTCCTTCAGTCTTTCTGACAAGCCAGCCTTTGACCTCTGCACTGAACCTGCTATGTACTGTCAAATGATGACTGTTACCTGCCTACCAGACTGTATCTGTGTAGGATATCAGGAACCATCTCATGATCAATGTCAGCACAGACTCCACTCGGTGAGACCAAGCTCTGGGAAAAGCTTTCATAAGCATTGCCAGCATCTTGAAACGTTCAATCTCCCCAGCAAAGTTTTTAATGAGAGAACATTTGATAAAAACTATGCAACACAGAGTATGATAAACTACTTTTGGTATGAGTTAGGGATGACTGCACATGTAACAAGTGGCAGAGCAAACCAGAGCCATAAGTCAGTTATGCATGGCCATCCCTAACAATAGAGAATAAATTGTTTATTCCAACCCTCTTGTGTTGTATGTTATATCACAATCAACTCCCTGTGTATTGTAAAATTCAGAATGCCCTTGCAAGGTTTACTTGATAAAGGAGTTTATTTTGATTTTCATCTTTCATCTGTAAAACTCCCTTCTAACTCCAAAGCACTGTGAAAAACCAATGAATGGCCAAGGCTCAATAGTTAAGGTGAAGAATGAAATGTCAGATATAACTCTTGAGTTTCCAGACTTTGGCAGCTGCAACTATCCTTAACATTACTTTTTCAGCTAAACAATCTGAGAAGCTACTGTTTCTTGAGAAGGAGCAGCACTGCTATATGGGAAAGTTTTAAAAATATTTCGTATTTTTACATGTTTAAAATGGGAAGTAGCATGAACAGAAGCCCTTAATAAAAGTTTAGTAAGAACTTCTTAACCAGCACAGTAGCTACCAAGAGCACAGGGAACTCTTACATGGCAAAGCAGAGATGGGTTTTTTTACTCAAAGCATCCAATACATCTATACTGAGAGCAATTCCAGTGAACCAAGTAAAGATAATACAGTGACTAAAGATATGCATATTTTAAACTGATGTGTTTTCTTGGAGCCAATTCTGCTTTTTAAGTTTTGGTGTGAATTGCTACATTTTAGGTTTTGAAAAAAACATTTTCTTTATTACATTATATTTGTGTCTCATATTGCACTGAGCAGTACTGTTAAAATCTTACAACACATCTTAAAATATGAAAGACATGGAAATGATTACTGCTTATATGCAGAAGACTTTTCCAAATATTAATAAAAATGTAAGTCAGTAAAACACTATGATGAAGGCAGGATTTAAAAACATGTGTAATACCTTAGCAAGATAAAGTTTCTCCCTTTCTTGCATTATTACATGTTTGCTATTTGGATAACTCAGGATTACCATGTGAAACACACTGCATTACATCTGAAGCACTCTCTTTTCATAGTCCTTATTTCACAGTGTAATATAATATTCATTTAAATACTGTGGTTCACAGTGTCCCTAGCACGGCTATTGTGATCATCTTGTGTTCAATTAACAGCAGTGGGTCCTGGTCAGGGAAGGCTAAAATAATGTTAACTGTGACCAGGCAGGCTGATGTCATGGCAAAAAGCTGAGATAAACTTAGCCATATCTTATCGCAAAAGTATTTCTTGTACCTAGAATCCAAAACTCTAGTTCTCATTGATGAACATACACCTGTTATTATTCTGCACACACTTTGCAGTTTCTGTTCTGCAAAGATTTTAAAACATTTAATTCACCTTAATTAAGTTCCAGGGTATCCCATGTGGTGTGAAATTTATCTTGTCTACTTACAAGACTGGAAACCAAAGTATATTTTAAAGTCAACATTTTCAAACTTGTATCATTTCCTTCGGGCACACAAACCTAGGAATTTGAGAACTATGTGCCTTCATTTTCAGAGATGCTGAATATCCACCAACATACCTAAATCCTAGTCACTTCAAAGGTAGCAGCAGATGTGCATCAGCTGTGAAACTCAGGTCACTAGTCCATAGGCGAAACTAACCGTGAATACACAAGACAAAACACTGAGCCCAAGGGAGTTTATCAACTCACAAGGAACCAATAGAAAAGACAGTAACAGACCTCAATACTCCTGACAACCACTGCCACCCAAAGGTCTTTTGCAACCTTGATAGCCTCATGTTAATGGAAAATGCATGAATTCTTCTTGTCTTCTTGTACGTTGTTTTTCTTTATTAGCATATCTATAAATCTTGCACTGATGGGTCTTCCTTATCTGGGCAGTCAGTAGAAGTTCATTCTACCAAGGCTGGCAAGAATACAAGTCCCACCAACAACAGGTTTGCTCCAGACTCTTCCAGTTTTTAAGCAACGCAATAAGGCTCCCCTCCCTGCATTAGCAAATGCAAAGAAATGGAAAGAATAAAACAATGAAGTGGCAATCCTGTGGTTCTTAATGCATTCGGTGTAGTGTTACACATCAGAAAGAAAACTGCATCTTAGACATAGAGGTGATCATGGTAATCAATGGAAAAAAAGAAAAAAAAGACTATCCAACTATACTTTCCTCATAACCCAGGACTATAATAAAACCAAAAACCTGGATCATTAATTCTCTTTTAATATAGGCTATCACCATGGCTTTGAGTATACAGGGAGCCAGGTGGCTCTTCAGACCAGGGACCTCATAGACATGGGATGCCTCACTCCTGCTTGAGTGCTGACCTTAAACACAGCAGAGCCAAATCGAACTTCAGGTATTTGCTCACTGAACTCAGGTGCAAACAAAACCAGCCAGAAGACCAGCCCAGGTCCAGCAAGAGCAGGTGAATGGGTGATGAATTTTACTTAAATCCACAAACCTCATTACATCAAAGCATTTCAGAAATGGGAGGCCGACACATAGTGATACTGTCAAAACAAAATGTAGCAAGAATCTCAGAAAAAGTGGCTATATTAACCTGCAGCAGAAACAAAATATTGCAGTGAGGTTTAGATACCAATCTCAAGGTAATAGAGAGATAACATACACTGTCCCAATCAGCATTTCAGTTGTAGACCTTTTGTTTGTTAACACTTAATTTAATCTTCAGACACCAGGACAGTCCTTAGCAACCTTTTTCTTCTAAAAAGGCATGTGAAGGAGTGTTGTGTCCAACAAAAAATGTAAGGGAGAATCTAGTTGCACTCTGCAAATCTGAACTGATGCTGC